AATCTATGACCAGTAAGTAACTCTGATAGGGAATAACTTTGACCAGGAAGAATGTATGTCCAGTAAGTATCTATGACCAATAAGTATCAATGACCAGTAAGTATCTATGAACACTAATAAACAATGACTTGCGACTTTTGTAACAACACATTTCTGATACATGGCCGGAAGGAGTCGCTTCATTCCGGGGATGTTAGAACTAGTTGGGAATCATATGCACAGATGTGCGAGATTTGTTTTGGAACAAATTTAAACAATTTTAATGAAACTATGGAGTTATTTTTCTAAATAATTTTACTAGTATATAAGTCGAAGACTGGCGAATCGGAGTACTATATATATACATAGATATATCTGGCATAGGAACAATCGGACGATTTATAGAACTATGATCAGTAATTAACTATAACCAGTAATTAACTCTGAGCAGTAAGTAACTCTGAACAGTAAGAATCTATGACCAGTAAGTAACTCTGATAGGGAGTAACTTTAACCAGGAAGAATGTATGACCAGTAAGTATCTATGAACACTAATAAACAATGACTTGCAACTTTTGTAACACAACACATTTCTGATACATGGCCGGCAGGAGTCGCTTCATTCCGGGGATGTTTCAACTAGTTGGGAATCATATGCTCACATGTGCGTAAGTAACTATGACCAGTAAGTAACTCTGATCATTAAGTAACTATGAGCAGTGAGTAACTCTGAACAGTAAGTATCTATGACCAGTTAGTAACTATATCAGTAAATATCTAAAGTATCTAAAAGTATGAGTAAGTATCTAAGTATGTAAAGGGGACCATGGCAATAAACAAAAAAATTGGAATATAAAGTCTAGACCTAGGCCTGATCATGTCATGGTTAAGACTTACCGCAGTAAAGGACACGTCATTGCTTCTTCATTCCAAGGTAGTGACCAAGAATCCAAGAGAGCTTATTCCTGGTCATCCAGATGTTTTGAGTTGGCCACGTCATATTATTGAGGTCGAAGGCTGATCACTTGCACTATCACTATCGATGTAAACACTAGGTACCCCTAGGACAGACTGAGGCGCGCGCGACCTCAGCGCCTCTATTTATAGTCCCCGAGGAAAGAGAAGAGAAGAGAAAGTGAGTGTGAGTGCGCGGGAGAGGAGTTGCCTCTAGAGATTAACATAAAGCGATAGTCATAGAGAAAGAGGGGGAGAGGCAGAGAGAAACAGCGAGCTATTTAATTTAACTATAATCAATATGTGTGAGATTTGTTTTGGAACAAATTTAAGCTATTTGAATGAAACTATGTACATAGTTATTCTTTTAAATAATTTTACTAGTACATAAGTCGGAGATTGGCGAATCGGTGTACTATATATATACATATATATAGCTGCCATAGGAACAATTGCACGATTTATAGAACTATGATCAGTAATTAACTATAACCAGTAATTAACTGTGAGGAGTAAGTACATCTAAACAGTAGGAATCTATGACCAGTAAGTAACTCTGATAGGGAATAACTTTGACCAGGAAGAATGTATGTCCAGTAAGTATCTATGACCAATAAGTATCAATGACCAGTAAGTATCTATGAATATCTACTAATACACTATTCCTCAGATAGGAACTATTTTTATACCCCAGCGCAGGGTATTATAATTTCAGTAAGAAGTTTGCAACGCAGTGAAGGAGTCATCACCGACCATATAAAGATCACCAGATGACCAGTAAGTAACTAAAATCAGTAAGTATCTATGACCAGTAAGTATGTATGATCAGTTACTTAATTTGAACACTAATAAACAATGCAGTAAGTATCTATGATCAGTAAGTATCTATGACCAGTAAGTAGCTTTGACCAGTAAGTATCTATGACCAGTACGTACCTAAGATCAGTAAGTAACTATGACCAGTAAGTATCTATGACCAATAAGTTTCAATGACCAGTAAGTATCTATGAACACTAATAAACAATGACTTGCAACTTTTGTAACACAACACATTTCTGATACATGGCCGGCAGGAGTCGCTTCATTCCGGGGATGTTAGAACTAGTTGGGAATCATATGCACAGATGTGTGAGATTTGTTTTGGAACAAATTTAAGCTATTTGAATGAAACTATGGAGTTATTCTTCTAAATAATTTTACTAGTATATAAGTCGAAGACTGGCGAATCGGTGTACTATATATATACATAGATATATCTGCTATAGGAACAATCGGACGATTTATAGAACTATGATCAGTAATTAACTATAACCAGTAATTAACTGTGAGGAGTAAGAAACTCTAAACAGTAGGAATCTATGACCAGTAAGTAACTCTGATAGGGAATAACTTTGACCAGGAAGAATGTATGTCCAGTAAGTATCTATGACCAATAAGTATCAATGACCAGTAAGTATCTATGAACACTAATAAACAATGACTTGCGACTTTTGTAACAACACATTTCTGATACATGGCCGGAAGGAGTCGCTTCATTCCGGGGATGTTAGAACTAGTTGGGAATCATATGCACAGATGTGCGAGATTTGTTTTGGAACAAATTTAAACAATTTTAATGAAACTATGGAGTTATTTTTCTAAATAATTTTACTAGTATATAAGTCGAAGACTGGCGAATCGGAGTACTATATATATACATAGATATATCTGGCATAGGAACAATCGGACGATTTATAGAACTATGATCAGTAATTAACTATAACCAGTAATTAACTCTGAGCAGTAAGTAACTCTGAACAGTAAGAATCTATGACCAGTAAGTAACTCTGATAGGGAGTAACTTTAACCAGGAAGAATGTATGACCAGTAAGTATCTATGAACACTAATAAACAATGACTTGCAACTTTTGTAACACAACACATTTCTGATACATGGCCGGCAGGAGTCGCTTCATTCCGGGGATGTTTCAACTAGTTGGGAATCATATGCTCACATGTGCGTAAGTAACTATGACCAGTAAGTAACTCTGATCATTAAGTAACTATGAGCAGTGAGTAACTCTCAACAGTAAGTATCTATGACCAGTTAGTAACTATATCAGTAAATATCTAAAGTATCTAAAAGTATGAGTAAGTATCTAAGTATGTAAAGGGGACCATGGCAATAAACAAAAAAATTGGAATATAAAGTCTAGACCTAGGCCTGATCATGTCATGGTTAAGACTTACCGCAGTAAAGGACACGTCATTGCTTCTTCATTCCAAGGTAGTGACCAAGAATCCAAGAGAGCTTATTCCTGGTCATCCAGATGTTTTGAGTTGGCCACGTCATATTATTGAGGTCGAAGGCTGATCACTTGCACTATCACTATCGATGTAAACACTAGGTACCCCTAGGACAGACTGAGGCGCGCGCGACCTCAGCGCCTCTATTTATAGTCCCCGAGGAAAGAGAAGAGAAGAGAAAGTGAGTGTGAGTGCGCGGGAGAGGAGTTGCCTCTAGAGATTAACATAAAGCGATAGTCATAGAGAAAGAGGGGGAGAGGCAGAGAGAAACAGCGAGCTATTTAATTTAACTATAATCAATATGTGTGAGATTTGTTTTGGAACAAATTTAAGCTATTTGAATGAAACTATGTACATAGTTATTCTTTTAAATAATTTTACTAGTACATAAGTCGGAGATTGGCGAATCGGTGTACTATATATATACATATATATAGCTGCCATAGGAACAATTGCACGATTTATAGAACTATGATCAGTAATTAACTATAACCAGTAATTAACTGTGAGGAGTAAGTACATCTAAACAGTAGGAATCTATGACCAGTAAGTAACTCTGATAGGGAATAACTTTGACCAGGAAGAATGTATGTCCAGTAAGTATCTATGACCAATAAGTATCAATGACCAGTAAGTATCTATGAATATCTACTAATACACTATTCCTCAGATAGGAACTATTTTTATACCCCAGCGCAGGGTATTATAATTTCAGTAAGAAGTTTGCAACGCAGTGAAGGAGTCATCACCGACCATATAAAGATCACCAGATGACCAGTAAGTAACTAAAATCAGTAAGTATCTATGACCAGTAAGTATGTATGATCAGTTACTTAATTTGAACACTAATAAACAATGCAGTAAGTATCTATGACCAGTAAGTAGCTTTGACCAGTAAGTATCTATGACCAGTACGTACCTAAGATCAGTAAGTAACTATGACCAGTAAGTATCTATGACCAATAAGTATCAATGACAAGTAAGTATCTATGACCAATAAGTATCAATGACCAGTAAGTATCTATGAACACTAATAAACAATGACTTGCAACTTTTGTTACACAACACATTTCTGATACATGGCCGGCAGAAGTCACTTCGTTCCGGGGATGTTAGAACCAGTTGGGAATCACATACATGTGCGAGGTTTGTTTTGGTACAAATTTAAGAGCAAAGTATTTGAATAAAAATATGGAATTATTCTGCTATATAATTTTACTAGTACATATGTACATATGTTTGGCTAATCGGTGGACTATATATTTTACATATGTATATATATCTGCCATAGGAACGATGGAACGATATAGAGATAATATAGTAATCTAGAATTTTGTGTAAAATTTTATGAAAATCGGATCGTTACAAATAGAGGAATGTAAAACTATAAATATAAATTTTATAGGTGAATGAAATGAAAGCAGCCATTAGTTTATTGTTTTTTATCATAATAATATGTATTTTATATTTTATTAATTCCTAGTGATCGAATTTCAATCTGCAAGGGTATACAAACTACGGCGTGCCGAAGATTTTCTTCTTGTTGTATTTCGAACTGAGGATGGAATTTTACATTTGAATGAATTTAATTTGAATTGGAATCTTACTTATTATTGCGATGTTGTTTTCGCTTTTTCCAAAGTTAATGTACGAAGTAGTTTAGAAACTATCAAATTGAAGGTTTTATAAGGACAATTGATTAATTTATATGCCACATTTAACCATTTTAGTTATTTAATTTTATTATCTAAATTTTACTATTATCGATTAATTTATCAATTTTATTTACTGTCCTTTAGATCCTCCACAAAAGTAAAGTAAACATTTGTGGCAGCTTGGGGCTTCTTGTTAAATAGCCAGTCGATCATCAGCAGATAATCTCCAGTTGGTATTGGGGTAGGCAGCTTTTCTGACCTCAAATAGAAGTCCTTAACCTGCTGCAGACCCTAGATACGACAAACCGTATACATAAAACTGAACTGAAGCTATAAACTTACCACATAGGGACAGGAGTGATTTAGGGTCGAGTATTCCCGAAAAAGTTCCCAAACCATGCGAATTAAGGCATTGTTTCGCCTTCTAAAAAACTGACAGCCATCAAAGTTCACTCTATAGAGCCAAGGCTTATAGCCATTAGCTTTCTTCATCAATTGGGCTTTTATAGTCACATCGTGCACCGGATGCAGCAATGTGGCATTAACATTGAGGCAGACCTTATTGCGGCTCACGGCTCGGAGTCGACAAAGGCCGAATTCCACCCATGATTTATTGTAGGACTCGCAGACGGCATTCGTCATCTTGAAGATCACAGCTGCCTAAAGGATTTAAATAATTATGACTTTATGTAAATACCAAGATAATAAATATGTTACGCTCTGATAATGCTGTAATAATAAAGCCAGCAGACAAGCAGTCAACACTCTCCTCATGGCTGCTTATGGAAAAGTGGGAAAATTTTGCTAAATCCGTTCATTTTTGACACCAAATTAGGTTCCCGTGTTCCCAGTAAATTATTATGACATAATTGCTTATCCATATAGACATTAGTGGTTAATCAGGCGGTGAAATGACCCAAACAATGGCCCTATCAGATAGCATTTTAGCACTTTACAGTGTTGATTTTAGCCGTAATAAATAAAAATGAGCTTTTATTTCGACTTTGGAAAATGGCACAAACTGCACTAGACCCTATAAACCCTCCACTTTATTATCTATTCATACAGCTGGTTCCAGACAATGGCGTTTCGTCACATTAATTACCTTGACTGAGTAATTGGCACCGACCTTATGGGGCGGCCAGCGAGTAATTATTATTTAAGAGCCTCTGCAATTTGGTCACAGTGCGTTAAATTTAACACACAGCTGATGCTGTCTGGCCTGCACCTTGGCCTTCACTAGGGCCCACCATTTCCAAGTGTATAATCCCTCAAAGACCTATGGATAGAGGTATAACCTTAGCTTTCGCTAATTTCTGGGATGCTGTTTTGCCACTGAATTGCCAATTGATGAAAGTCAAACATTATTAGATTCGGTAAACATACTATCGAGTAACACTCAACTTTGAAGTCAAAGTCGGAAGTCAAGTACACGCCTAGCTTTGGAGGTTTGTTATGGAAAAATTCTCAGTTCGCTTCCCTCAATTCGAACATCAAATAGATTGATCGCGTAGTATTTCCAAGATTTGGTACTCGTTAATCGAGAGGTATATTTTTATGGTTCGATATGGGAAATATTTAAATATTTACTCTATATGTTTCAATCAATGATTTTTGTAATACCTCGATTAGATCTTGTGATATTGATGGTAAAACTAGAGTATATTTTGCGCTTTATTTGTGATTCCTTTATTTGTCAACAAAAAAGTCTACGACGTATACGTAATTATTTATATGTTAACATCAAGTTCGCGTTCAGATATGTTGTTTACGCTTAACTTATTTGCTTAATACCACCACTTCTTACGCCTTAAATATATACTATTTCGCTGAGTAGAAATCCTATAAATAACCAACTATTATCTCTGGCATCTCGGCCCGCAATGCTAACTTATTGACGTCAGTATTGTCTACAATTTCCATTTAAATTTGAATTATTTCTAAACAGTGCACGAAGACATGAGTGACCGGGGGTATCTTCTAGTCGAAAAGCTTGACTATTGTTTGTGTTGTTTCGTAGCCGTATTCATTAATGGCCTGACGACTGTCCAGTCAACACCTGTCAACGGGCCCCCAGTCATGTCCGTGTCGACGTCAGCCCAGCTCCACCCCGCGTCGCTATTCCCGATCTGCGTCTGGGCCACTTGAGATGCATTTGCTTATTCGCCAAGTTAAATTAATAGATTTTTTCCTATTTTTTGCGCTTGCCGCGCACACGAAACCCAATCAATAAAGCACTCGAATGCATTTAGCTGAATCGCTTTTGGCTCTGCACTGTGACTTTATCGTTCTTCCAGCTCCCAGCTGGTGCTCCTCCTGTCCACTTTTCCACCCTGCCGCCATGAAGATGTTGGTCTATGCAATTCGGCGGGTTGTTGTTTGCACGATTTGTTGCCGTGGCCGACCGTCTTTGAACCCGCTCTGAATTTCAATGGATTCCGTTCAACCATGTCCATGTGTGCTGCAGCCAATGTGTTGGTAATTTTGCGTTCTACCGTGACTGATATTTTTATACCCTTTTTGGAGGGGGTTTTACTTTATTTTGCACAAACTTGTGAAATCACAAAGAAAAACAAATATGTATATAGAGCTGTCAAACCAATTAAATATATATTTATAACATCTATGAGTAATCTATGTGGAGTTGTAAAGAGAATTTAAAAGAATATTTTTCTCAATCATATGTTTTATAATTAAATTATGAAAGCATATGAAAACAGTGATTTATAACTGTCAAATATAATGAACAATTAATTTACCAAAACAGATGTTGTCTATTTTTGTTTCTTTAATAATAAAGAATTTGTTCTGTAATAGTTGTAGAACTATTAGTCTTCTCTACTTGGATCCCTACAATATCCCAATATCCCTAAGACCAATCTAAGATTGTAATATAACTTTACTGATCTAGCTTGAATACTTATTATAATAGATTTAATATTTTATAATACATAAATTCAATATACTATAATTGTGTAAATCTTTAAGATTCAATCGAATTCTTTTGATATTTATCAAAATAAGTGCTCCCCAAGGGTATTCCAGACATCGAAGCGGGTATTTTCCCAATCCCATAGACCTCCCATGGGCGGGGGCGAACATATATGTACATATATATAGTACTTGTATGCTCCCGTGCGATGCGTTGCGTTGAGTCATAAAATAAATCAAGAAGCCCGACACCAGAGTCAATAGTAAATCACGGCAGAAGCGGCAAATTACCCGACACTGGCCCTCTCATCATCGAGAGGCATCCCCTCGAATAATTATGCAGTGACGAGTCGATTCTTGATTCCTTCTCCACGACATCTTGAGTTCTCTAACTTCTCGAGTATGCGATTCCGTAATCCAAATTAGCCCTGGCAATTACCTTTCGGATTTGCAGCTACCAGACTTTGACTTTGACTTTGATTTTGGTTTCTGTTTGCTTGGCGCTATTTGCTCGCTGATTTGCGAGAATATCGCATGGCAAAAACCTGAATGACTTGCCGATTTGTTTAGGCCATTATCATGGTGATGGTGCTGGTGCTGGCCAGTTTACGGGGGTGCAACCATTTAGATTGTTTTTTAGATTCGTTGCCGGATTTAGAGCCACAAATCGCACTTGGATTTGATTCTTTTGTGCGACGACAAGGTCAAGTTACGAGAATTAGTTTCTTTTTTTTTGTTTTATTACCCACTTTATAGGGTTCTCAAAATCCCGTTTGCTTTATTGCAGTTTCACAAGTGGCCAATCCACCTGATTCTGGCTATAAGTTCCCCCCACCTGACAACGATGCATGTGGGTAAGGTAATCAAGCCCGTTTGGTGATCTATAAATCTCTTATGCTAAAAATATATCCACATATATAGAAACCGCAGACAATTTTTAGGTAGACTAATCACAGCAGGAATTTAAATTGACAAGCAACTAGAAATTTTAATCGAAACTAAAAGTTTGTGCTTTTGGCCGAACCATTTATTTATTATTCAATATTCAAATTTTTCGGCTGCTCTCCAGTCTGGGAATTTGCATTGACCTTTTCTTCTTTTTATAGTTTAGGCATTATGCTAAAAATTCGGGGGTTAGTTGATGCCACAAGCCAACTGAGAGCAACAGCTTCCTCCTTCATCATTTGTAGAACAAATAGAAATGTATTCAAAAATACATTAAACCTTTTGAACCCTGGTTCAGCCACTTGGGAATTTCACCTATTTGATTAACAGAGTTAAATAAACAACATTTGTTAATCGCCAGCTCAGTAGAAAGGGTTGTATAATTGTCAAGTCAAGTTCGACAGAAGCTTAATTTTACAAAAATAACTACAAAAGCGAAGCCATTATGAATTTATTAAGGCGTCAGATTGTCTGTGTGTCCCTTGTGGCCAGAAAATAAAGTAATTAAAGATCTCAGCGAATCATGTCATTGTCAAGTGTTTGAACACAGACCCAAACAAGATCGGATCATATCGCAGAAGTGTGCACTCGAGTGCCTTTTGATGGGGGCACCATTAATATGCAATGACGGCTCGCAAATATTGCTTTATTATTTTGTTATTGTTATTGTTGTTTTTCTCTTAAATTTGATTTTTTTTTACTTTTTTGGGATTTGTCATTAATGGGCGGCCTTTTGTTTCGGGTAGCATTTATGCGAGTTGTATTTGAACTGAGCTTTGTTTCGCTGTGAGAAGATACTGGACTCGAGATACAGATGGATCGGCGACGGAACATGCTGGGAATTACGTGATTGATGGCGGATCTGCGATTACCCCAAAACAACTAAAAAATAAGTACAGAACCAGCACTTCACTGGAGAATATATTTATACATATTATTCGCAGCAAAATCAGTGAAATCTTGTCGCGTCTAAAAAGGAAATCACACAGCAAATGCAAAATTTATGAGCGAACTACGTCGAACGACGTCTCCGGGCGAACGGAGCAGGCATACCAAGTGGATTGGGATTTCGGATCGGGATTGGGATTGGGAATGGGATATAGAGACTGTGACTGCGATTGAGCGGATGTGGGGACTGCACTTGGTGATGAGTCAGCCAAAGGTCCGTGTCAGAACATGGGGTCTAAGTCGCTGTATTAAATCTTACATGGCTTAATAATTAAAAGAATGCATATTTTCCACATTTTGTCACAGGTAAACTAATTATAGGAAATGGCGGAAAGTTTTTGTTTTGTTTCATTACCCGTGGCCTACATGACGTATACGTAATATAGCAAGAACTTGGAGAATACTTGTTAAGTGGTAAGGTTAAAAGCTATGTTTCTATAGAAACTATGATCTTTCTGGTGGGGTAACACTTTAAAGACTAAGTATCACTTTAAAAATTTATTTTATTTGTTTTTTTTTTTAAAGCATTTACTTTCTTTTGATAATCTTATTGAAATAATCCTATTTATTACTTCTTCTAAAGATTCAACTATATTTAATTTAAGAAATTGATATTATATTATATTTCAGAAATTGATAAGTATAGCATATATTATATAAACCAGAAGCAATTAAGTTGTTACTTAAAAACAAACACAAAACTTATACCCAATTTAATGGTAAAATACCTCTCTATCAGAATTCTTTACGATTGGATCGCAGTATTATTTCCTACATGAGTGACTAGCTCTAAAATGGAGTACTCTGTTTACTTCTCTCTGCTTAATAGCATAGGATTTACGAGGTTTCATAAAATTGGACCATAACATTCCCATTCCCAGTCACTTGTGTTAGTTAGTTACAATCCGAGATCCAAAACTGCGCCACTCAATTTCGACTGTTTTTAGGCG